AGAAAAAGTTTATCAAAGACTTCAACCGATACTAAGATAAAAATAATTTTAAGCGGCTAGATGATCCATAGGATCTCATATTTATTTTTCCACTATCTACCTCCTATTTTATTAAGTATTCCTTCAGCTATTCCACCAACTGCGTTACCTGCTTGTGCTCCCATCGCCGGATTACCTGCTTTAGTACCTAATACTCCACCTATGATAGTTCCTGCCGTTTTCGCTACTGGTGCCAAAAAGTTTGCAACGGGTTTAATAATATTTTTATGAACCCAACCTGCAGCTTTCTTAATTCCATCCCATAATTTTTTAAAGAATCCTGCAGCCATTTCTGATTTAATATTAATTAAAAAATATATTTCATCACTTATATTCTAATTTTTATTTAATGATAAATGAAACCGATTTTAAAAATAAATGAAACAGAGGAGGAAGAAAATAAATGAAAGTGAAAATGTTCAACAAAAAATAAACGTTGTTAAACCAATTACTGAAATAAAAATTTTTTCATCTGTTGAAGAATTTAATGACTATTATGCTAATAATAAAAAATTATTTGAAGAATTGACAACGTGTAAATTGAATAAAATGTTTAAAGTTGATGGATTCAAAATTTCAAAAATAAAGGGGGTGGTTAGTTTGAAATCTATTCCTCAATCAAGAATCACCTCATTAATGAAAATTGATGATTTAACAAAAAGAATAGAAGAGATTGAAGAAAGAATGAATCAAATAATTGATTTCATAAATTCAAATAATCATTAGTTTCTTAAAGTTCAATGTTGAACTCATCAAATTCTTCTTCATCATTACCATTACTCTTTCAACTCTATCTTTTGATAGTCTTGCGTTTAATTTTTCGTAAGACATGAATTTTTAAAGTTTATTTTTTATTTCATTATGGTAGTGAATCTTTCATTCATGAAAATAATTATATCTAATTTCTTTTACTCGTTTATGACTCCATTGATTCCATTCAGGATTTAAACAATGTTTAATTAATCGCGGAATATCTGACATCATCTATATATAGCTTCTTTTATAAAAGATGAAAAATAAATTATTTTAAAATTAATGTTAATTTTTTAATGTGTTTATGTTTGGGCTGAGTGTAAATGTCTTACAATTTTGAAAATTTTTTAAATCTTGATTTATTCAAAAACGTAAGAATAAAAACCGTAAGAATCATACATTTTTTACTTCATATGTTAAAAAAAATGATATAAAATCGCTCGATATTGTATGAATTCTTACGTTTACAAAAAAAGTCACACACCCCTTCCACATATACTACTTTTGAAACTCTCTGATTTACAAATAAGCATTCCTTTGGAAAAGCAGTCCTATTATGATTCAAGATATTTTAAAGCCCCCATTTCATACAATGCGCAGATATATTCGAAATTGCAAGAACTCTCAAGAAAAATGCAGCAGCAAAGAAGATTCCATAGTTTCTAGCATCAAAAATTTACAACCTTAATACAACAGTTAAAGAGAAGCTCGAAAGGAAAATATTTAACCATAAAGCTGGAAACCATTCGATATATACTATTAGATCTAATAAAAAGTTAATTATAACATATTTTACATGCTATTTGTTGACTCTGTTCCATTATATTACCATATATATCTTTTTGAAATCTAAAATATTTTTACGATTTTAACCATGTGTTGTTGAAACCATATATCAATCTTAGCTAAAGTATAGTTTATGAGTTTGTCACCATCTAACGTATGAATTTTCAAAAATGTCAAATATGTTCATTTTTTCTGTATATTCAGCCATAATTTCACGTAGTTATACTATTCAACTATTATTTAATATTTTTATCGATTTAAATATATGATGAGATGCTTAGTTCTCCTGGAAATCGATTTTTAATCGCAATTTTAACTTTCCAAAAAAATCAAAAATAAAAATCCCTCTCAATTTTCTAAGTTTTCTAACTCGCCAAATCTCTAGCCAAATTTTTTTGGCCCGTATAAATATTGTTAGGCACTATATAGGGATGCTATTTATCCTATTTTCATCCCATTTTACTGTTATCGCCTAGTGAATGTACCTTTAATTATACATGACACGCCGGGCGCAAAAAGTGACAAAATAGAATATCTGTGGTGGCAAGACAAAGGAAGCATTTTTGTAATGACAACATTATAGCAAATACTTTTATTTCGTAATAAGAACACATTGATGCTGAAATCATGTGATGAGGATTCAATTTACGTTAATAAAGAAGATATTCGTTGTTAACAAAGGTAGGCCAACAAAATCGTAACGATGCTTTCTTGATTTTGGTAATGGATTTAGACTATGTAGGTACTCGGTAACTAATAGACGAAGAATGGAAGAAAACTGCAAGAGCGATTTCGAGGAAATATTATTAAAATTAGCATTCGATTCTTTGACCTGCAAATAAACATATTTGTACTGTTAATCGGTTTTACAGAATAGATCTTGCGTTGTTGTATGTTTTGAAAAAGTATCTAGAATTTTTCCTAAGATACTCATTTTGCGAGATCCTATATGTGGCTAGTAACTACAGAAATTTTAGTTTCAGGAAATTTGAATACATTTGGAATTCTAAGAAAGACATTGTAATATTGAGCGTCTCCTATTTCAATATACCATATTGATGAAAATATAAGTTCATGTAATCTGTCCTTAAATATGCTATCTAAACTTGTGATAGAAACTCAATTTCACCATAAAATATGAGAAAATTCCAAACTGTGAAATAAAACGAACATATTCACATATGAGATAACAACCATCTATATTAGGTTTCTCAATTCTTCATTTGAAATTCCAAAAAAAATTCAAAAATTTGAAAATGGAGAGAAGAAATACGAATTTTCCATGAAAATTCGCAAAATGAAAAATTTTTGGAATTACAAACATTATTTATTTTTGATGCTTGTTCCAAAATTTGTCTTTTTTACCCATATCTGAGATGAATATTTTGGATTATTATTATAATTTATTTTTAATGACATATTTCATGATATTCATATAATGGTTTGTTTTAGGGAATGAATGAGAATATATTTATTTAAAAAAAGAGAAAAGGTATTAGTATATATTTTTATTTGAGCGTATTTAAAAGGTTCTATTTCAAAAACATTATGTAGTTTGCTTTTGTAAGCAACGTAAAACAAAATCTTCAAGTTATTTGTTGCAATTCGGGGATTAATCGAGAATTTTTGCTGTATATTAGTTATAAATTTGTTTTTAGTAGATAAATTAGTCATGTTCCCGTTTGTAACTCATTTTGTTTTTGCTTTATTGATGAAATTTCAATTTGTTGAGTGAATATCGACAAATTTGTTAAATCTTGTTTTAAGCGCAGCAGCAATATTTAGAGCCTATTAATTATATCTAGACTTTCAGTATTTTGCATTATTTTTATGGTTGAGGTTAGAACAATCGCCTAACTAAGTAACGCATGTATGTAAAATGACTTTTTCGCGAAAACGGTCTTGCAGATTTTTATGAGAGTAAGATATCAATATATACAACAATTGAGGATTAATCTTATTGCAGTGGCTTACGATTTTCATCGTTCAAAGTATCGGGGCAGATTATTAAATTTTAAGCTATACAATTTCCATTGTAGAGCTTTATATTTTGAAAGAATAGAACGATTGGATATACTCTTATTAAGTATAAATGACATCGATTTTAAATTGCATATATGTCAACACTGTTTCTGAAATTAATGTAAATACAAAGTAATAAATTACTATGCATGAAGAAAACTTCAATTTCTCTCCACAATTAAGAGAAGTTTGGAGTTTTATTACTGAGAAAAATCCGCTTGAAGTTGTTCATGTGAATTTTTTTTCTTGCGAAATAACGTATTTTTTGTTGACCTAAGGTAGTCACAAAATCTCAGTAGTGAGGCTCTCAAAAATTGAACCGTACTCCATACAAAAGTTGTGTACCCTCACTACTTAGATTTTGTGGCCTTCAATTGAGAGGTTAGTTTTGATAGAGCACGTTATAAAATTAAAAGGGAAAAATAAATAAAATTTAAACATTTAATTATATATAATGTAAGGAGTGTAATTCCAAATTTTCTAAAAACTATTCAAATTTGAGCATTTTTTTGGAAATAGTAAATCTAATATGTACATCTAATAACAACATGATTCATCACCTTTTCAAGCTCTGCAGTCAATTTTTTGAAATTTGATTGAAATAAATGTAGCAAAAATTACATTTCATTAGGGAATATATGAGTTTCTCTGGAAACAGGCTGATAAATTTTAAATTTTGTCCAATCAACATGAATGCATTGAGAAATTTGGATTGATATTCTGGTAGAATCTGGAACAATTCAACCATGTATAAATGGATCATGTAATCATCATGAAATGTTAGTGTTAGAGTTCAAAAGAAACAGAATGAGTGGAAATCAAACACAATCTGAATAATTTTAAACGTATACAATCATTAAGTTTGTATTTTGAATTCTACATATATGATTGTGTAATTCGTTCTTTCAAATTTTCGGATTCAGGCATGTTTTGATAAAATTCATTCCCAAAAACGTCAATTAACAATTAAATTTAGTGTATTTTAAATATATATACGTATTATATTTTATAAATTATATTAAATTCGCAAAATTTTAAGTTTTAAACAAAAATAAAAAATGTTCAAAATATGAAATTATGCATAGGATATTAAAATTTACATGTTAGCAATTTTTTTGAATTGCTTTCAATTTTCATATTGAAATTTTTAAGATTTTTTTCTGAAATAATAAGCAAGAATATCAACCTAAATAATATTAAATTCCATGCGTTAATTTCCCCTCAAAAGTCATTGACCGCCTCTCAATCTAGATTTTGTGAGTACTTTACCTTTGAAATGCATTATTAATATCGATAATAATGATTACTAAATGCTTGATCATTGATAATTTATATTTTTGTCTGCGCGCCGATAGAACGCGCTATATTATATACGTGACAACTTGATTGATGTTTTCATTTTAAAATGGTGCAGGTGGATGATCAGATAATGCCCATGAAATCTGATTGCGCACAGATTCTTCCTCTTGCTGCGTGAAATCATTTTCAATATTGCAGAGAGCACGAATTTCATCAGCATTTGTGGCAGTTTTGATTGTATCAACAATCGAATTAATAATGAAATTAGTTAAGTCTGTAATTTCTAAAAATGTGCTTCCTTCAAAAATAGAAGTAAGATTATCAATGTTTTCGTTTAAAGACTCTGCAATCCAGTTTTCTGTTGTTGGTCTTGCCGACATTTTCATGTAATAAATCAATGTGTCTAGTGTTTCTGCTGGAATTTGCTCGATTTTTATTTGAGTTATTGTTCCTAAGTTATTTATCATACGAGATAAGTACCTTGAGCAATCAAGTTCTTCTTTTGTAACACCATGCTTCTCTCCATTACTATCATAAATATAGATATAACTCATTTTATTCTGAAATCTTAGTTATTGAATAAATAATAATCGTAAGTTTCAAGAATAATGTCTAGTGTTTATTATGAAAATGCGTTCGAATACAAAAAAGACTTGCATTCTTATCACTTTCCAATATCACTGGATGAGAATGATCCAATCCGTAAAGAACTGGAGACTGAATTTTCCGAATTAATACAAGCAGAAAAACGTAAGCGAGAGCAAGATTCAACACAATCATCTTTTTGGAAAACAGACTAATTTAGCTATTACCTTCGAGCCAAATTACTTTTACAGACTTAAATAAATTTACACAGAAATTCACAACCAATATGATTTCATCTGTTTACCAACACAGAAATGTGGCACTAGAAATACCAAAATTGGCATTCCTTTCTTACAATTTTTTTGAATAAATGTTTATTTTTTATTATCATTCTATTATCATCAAAAATGCTAACAAGAAACATCACCAACAATATTAGATTAATTCAACTCTGAATTTTTGAACTAATATATTGTAAATTGATATTTTGATATCCCCAATATTTTTGAATAATTATTAAATATTTTTATTCATTTTGGCTCCTTGATTTTTTTTCGAGATTACAAATTATGAAATAATTCCAGCTTAAGAAATACAGACCCTTTTTAAGTTATATTTTTTATAAAATGGTTGTCATTCTTGCAGACATTATTGAAACTTATATTCCAGGCGGACTCCCAAGCAAAGAGAAAATAGAAATGATGTCTCAAGAAGAAAGAAATGAATTATCTAGACTTCAAAGCCAAATAATCATTCATTTCAGAAGAGCTGTCCAAGCCGAACTTGACCAATTATCTGTAACAGCTAGGAAATTAGAAAGATGTCTTAATGGGGAAATTAAAGCAATAAAACCAAAACAACGAAATTCATTTGATTCTATCAACGAATATCTTAGAGATATTAATGTGACAATCCAAAAGATTGAACATTATGTTAGAAGTAAATAAATACCATTTGATTTTAAAACGTTATTTAATATGTAAAAATTGTTATTCAGATTTTAATGTCAAATTCACTTCATGCATTTTAAATAACAAGCAAGGTTAATTTTTATTTATTATTTATATATACAACAAATGAAGTGATACGTAATTTATCCAAATACTATATAAGTAACATATATCATATCATAGTTACCTGTCATAAAGTTATTTGAATAAATAATTATATTGGATGTGGTTATTAATTGGGAAAAGTCGTATATATAGTTCAATAATTTAAGTGATTTCTCATATTGTTGTAAACAGAAATTCATCAAAAGTGACACCTCAGAAAAGCTAAAATATTGAATTTTTGGAACTTTTGATAGAGCACGTTTTTAAATATTAATTAAAGTAAATGTATATTTTGTAAAGATTCTTTTTAATAAAAAAATAAAATTTTGAAGAAGAACACAAAATCTTCTGAAAAATAATATCACATAAACTCATATTATTTTCTAATATATAACTATTTTATATAAAAATCAAATTCAATGATCTTAAAAGCGAATGATAAACCTCAAAATTTACGAATATAATGAGTGGGAATATAATGCTTATCTATCATAAAACCATATGAAATATCAATTTTTGCTTTACGCCTAATTTTTGACGACAATTAGCAAAAAATGTTAAATGTTAACACTCAGTCCATTTGAATATGAAAAATAAAATTGACTTTGATTAAATGTTTTTATTTATCATGCAATTCTTCTTGCGACCAAAGATTTGAATAAAAGTTCAAAAAATAAGATAGCTTAAAAAATAATATACGGTAGTGTTTACTAATAGATGAATAGTATATAAATTCTATTAAAATGGATTTGATCCAAAAAAATATAAAACTAAAAATAATTGTTATAATTTAAATGAAGAAGTAATTTAAAACGATTTTATTTATGATCAAATTTTATATATTTTTTGGATCAAATCCATTTTAATAGAATTTATATACTATTCATCTATTAGTAAACACTACCGTATATTATTTTTTAAGCTATCTTTTTTGAACTTTTATTCAAATCTTTGGTCGCAAGAAGAATTGCATGATAAATAAAAACATTTAATCAAAGTCAATTTTATTTTTCATATTCAAATGGACTGAGTGTTAACATTTAACATTTTTTGCTAATTGTCGTCAAAAATTAGGCGTAAAGCAAAAATTGATATTTCATATGGTTTTATGATAGATAAGCATTATATTCCCACTCATTATATTCGTAAATTTTGAGGTTTATCATTCGCTTTTAAGATCATTGAATTTGATTTTTATATAAAATAGTTATATATTAGAAAATAATATGAGTTTATGTGATATTATTTTTCAGAAGATTTCATTCTATATGCCTATGAAAAGTACTCTCAAAACTAACTTTTCCTAATTATAATTAAATCTAGAATATTGTATTATGCTTAGTATTATTTCATTTTTCTCATTCAATTTAGAATTTACAAATGTCAAAAAATTGAGAGCTGTCACTTTTGATGAATTTCTGTTTATTACAATATCTAATAAACACACACATTGCTATCTTAGGAGCTATTGATAAATAGTAATCCAAACGCAATAATAAATTTATTGAAAACTCATGAGATTTTGGACGTCACTTTTTTAAAATTTGAATTAGAAAACGGAATATGAGTTCTTTTAATAGTTCATTCAGTACAAACAGCCAAATTAAGGATCCTACTGAAGCGGCATTAGAGCTAGCAGAAAAGATTATTTCTTCTCTTTCAGATCAATCAATAGTTTCTCGTTACTTTGAGCAAAAACAAAAGATTATGAATTCATCTTCGAGATCTTCCAGTAGTTCCACTTCTAACAACAAAATCGATACAGGGAGTGCTTATCAATCATATCAAAAATTCGTTGAAGAGAATAATACAATCAAGGAAGAAATATATCGCTTGAAAGCAAAGAAACCAGACTTTTCATCTTCTCCAAACAACGAAGAGATAGCTAAATTACTTCATGAAATGCAAGTTAATACATTTAATGCATCTCCAAGTTCAATTGAAAACGCAACAACAGAATTAGAAAAGTTGAAGCGAGTTATAGAAGCCAAATTCGATTCGTTATCATTTATTCTCTCAGGGCTTAAACACGAGAATGCACAATTTAAGAAACAATGGAATGAATGTGTTGCAAGTTGTGAATCTCGTTTAGAAGCCGCAAAAGAGAAAGAAACACACGATGATATCAAGTTTGAAGAAGATTTCTCTAAGCTTCAAAACAGTATTAAAGAACACGAAGATCAATTATTACTTCTTCGTCAAGAGCATCAAAAAGCAATAGAAGATAATGAATCTCTTCTTCACCAGCAAAGCGAAGCAAACGATAATCTTTCGCAAATGCAATACGCTTTAGAATCAGCAAATTCAAATGTAAACGAACTTGAAGCCGAAAGTGGTCAATTGCTTGACGAAATTAAAGATCTCAAGAAGAGCATATCAACTAAATCAAAGGAATTAGCACAATTACAGAGATTGAATCGTGTAACACCAGATGGGCCATCTATTAATATTAGCGATGAAATAGAGCGAATAAAGCAAAAAACTGCAGTACTTAGGGCAGAAAATGCTCAAATGGCGTTTGAGTTAAAGAGAATGGAACAGAAATCTTATAGTGATTCATTATCTCCTACTTCTACTCTAACTTTAGACGAGGATGAGTTAGCTGCACATATTCTGAGATCAAAACTTCATTAATTTTTTTTCTCAAAAAAAGCATATATTCTATAAAATTTTTATATTTATTTCATTAAAAACCGAATAAATTCATTTACATCAATCGAAATCAATAAATAAATTTAGATTACGAAACTTTTTTTTGCAAATGGTTGTATAAGCAATGAAATCTTTCGTACGCAATTCACGAAATATGTTACATGCTTTCATTATCAAATTACGATTGTAGAAAGAAATGTAGTATACTTGGAATTTTAATTGTGGACTTTAGTAAAGAGATTTAAACACCACTCCTCTGCGTATCAAATAATGAATTAGATGATCAACAATTTGAAACTTAGGCTAAATGTTATTTTGAATTTTATGTTTTTTTAAGATATATTGTTAGCTTTGGTTCATTTTTCGCTACAGATTCCTCGAGTGTTGTTGTTTCTATTAATGAATACTTATTTTTAAGAATTTCTGCGATAGAAATTGCTTTGTTAACAGCCTTTTCCTCTCCAACAATAGTTATACCAGGAGAATTATCAGAATCTATTCTTTTTTCACAGTATTCAATGAGAGTTTTCATTTGAGTATGTTGTTTAACATTTACTACTTCCATTGAAATTGTCACTTTTAGTCTAAATAATTTTTTAAGGGTGGCGGAAAGTGATGTGACCGAATAACAAAAAGTAAAAATAACTAAATAAATATTTGAAATTCTTTTGTTATTGTAGCATAATTAAATAGTGTATATAAATAAGTATTTACTACAAAGTTTGCGTCGTCTGAGATCTCTATCTGGTAGAGAAATACCCTTCGTTTCCATGAATTTCCGGATAAGGTTATTTTTCCTGATCGAAAAGTGCTAATAACTCTTCATTTATTAGGTATTTTTAAAATATTTTAAGTTATTATCTGTCATTAGCCTATAAAGTATAATCTATGCTATTTTGAAAGATTTTGGAAGGGGTAACGGCGTCGAAATAACATAATTTGAGCTACTCATAATTCGGTCAATATTGCATAGTCAGAGCCCAAACTTTAGTATATGTATAGGTATGAACTTGTCAGCACATTCATGAACAAGAATCATAAAAAGCAAATGTTGAGGTTAATTTCAAACCTTAGAAGAGGGGTAACCTAACCAAATACTGATATGTTATTCTACAGATAATATATTAAATCATACTGCATATTATTTGCTCAGATTTCAATAATTATTAATAAGAGAAATATTTACTATTATGCTCATAAAAGCATTATAAATCATATAGCTTTAACGATGTTATAATAAAAGTTATACTCAAAATAACTAGAATGCATGTTAGAAGGAAATTGAATTGTAATTTGCATTAATTTTCTTATTTATAAATTGTATTTAACAGCTTGGAATCGGAAAAAGCGAAGTACATAATAATCATTTCTTTCTGACTATAATAGTAACAATATGCTTTTTTTAAAAATCAATCTAAAAAACATAAACAGATGAGTTACAATACTAATTGTAATGATATTTGTTATTGGCAAGCCATGAGAAAGAATATTTTCAAATTATTCAAATAAATAACTATTTGATTTACCATAAATATACCGGCAATGAACTAAAATTTACCAATCGTAAATATACATGCAGTTTAAAATGAAAATTAATTTCAATTATTCACATTTCAATGCCTGAAAGATGTTTCTAAAAATGACAAGTTGAGCGAGATACGCATTAATATGTCAATCATGAATACAATATTAAAACTCCAAAAACTTTCATTTTCAGAAAATGACGCCAAACTGCGTAATTTTTGAGTGTGGGACAAACTATCCAGTGTCACTTTTTATTAACCTTATTTTAAAAATTAATAAAATAATAATAAAAAATTATTTGAATCTTTTACATTAATTGTTTCTTTTTTAAAAGTACCTTTAAAGTACAATAAACAAGACTTGAATCTATTGATCCTTGTTGCAAACTTGAATATATTGCTTCAAGCATTTTCAAACATTCGACTTTTTTGTTTTCCAATATTTGTTCATGGTCATTAGCTTTTCGTAATATACGAACAACTTTATCACTATTGATTAATTGAACTTTAAATTTAATCAATAATGCTGGAACAACCGTTGTGTATAATTCAACAACAAAATCGTCTAATCGAATATTCCTTCTCTCTGGGAAATAAGAATGCTTGAGAACTTTGAAATGTGACTCACTGACGTTATTAGTCGCGTCACCTCCGTTGCGATAGCGCTTATTCCAACGATCTAAATGATGCCTCCATTGCCTATCGAAGTACTTTTGGGCTTTCGGTTCAGTGGAAAGAATTTCAAGAATTCGATCATAAACTGCATCTAGGTCTGCAGCTTCTTCTTGAGTGAGGTGCTCTGGAACTTCTTCACTTGTTTCAAACGTTTCTTCTTCTGGAATAAATTCAGAATCGTTTGGATCATCAGAAGATTCTCGTGGTAAAAAGATTTGAGAAGGTTGAAATTCATTTTCGATGAATTCTTCTTCATATTGTTCCTCTTCTTCAATTTCTTCTGCTTGAAGTAAGTGAGATTGAGCTGGTTCCTCTCTAGGATTTTCTTCTTCTTGGTTCTGTTCTTCCTCGGGAGATTCTTCTTTAGTATCGAATACTAATAATTTCATTAGATTATAAAATTCTTCAAAATTGTCTCGTGATTTAAACTTATCCGCTTTTCTTAATATGGCGCGAAGGACATGCACGCCACACCAAAGAATATGACAGTTTGGAATACCTCGCTCAATTGCCTCGGCTATTTGTGGGGCGCAGTCCATACTTATCATCTCGGGTTCTCTATTAATATATTGAAAATAACGACAAACACAATATTGAATATTTTCGCTTGTGTCAGGAGAAATAAAGAAATACAAAAAAGGAAAAACAATAGTATGTTCTGTTTTTCCTGTGAGTGCATATAATGGAATGTTAGCCCTTAGAAGTTTATACGTTGAATCGATGTGAAACGTAGAAATTTGGTGACCAAGGGCCTTCGCTTCGAAAGGTGCATATAAAAAAACTAGTTTTCCCGGCTCAGAGATAAATTCAATTAAATCTTCTGGACAACTTTCTTGAACAGATTCGACAAAGATAGCTAAAGAAACTTTTTCATCCGAACTAAAGCGTTTGGAAACAATTTCAGCTCTTTGAGCAAATTTACGTAATGCATCTGGACCTTGTGCAAATATTGAAAGTAACTCTTCGTCTGTATATGAAATATTTAAGTCTTGGAAACACTTAAGTTGAGCTGTAGCATGATTCATATTGTTTTCAAAGTAATGTTTAAGATAATTTCTGACAAATAATGAGGATATTGTTTTTGTTGATTTCGGAGGTGCAGAATGATCATGAGAGTCAGAGTGGATTAGTAGTTCATATTTATCTTGATCTATTATCCGGACTTTGAATTTAGCTTGACATTGTGGATACTTACATTTGTATTCGATCGTGGAGTATTCTTTCCTGCATTTTTGAGAGTAGCCCATGCTAGCTTTTATCTCTTCTTGGATACCAAACTGGAGGAGCTCCATAGTGTTGAATATCACGGGCTCCATACAACAAATTGAATAAGGTATTTCAAAATTTGAAGGAAATGGTCCATCATTGAATGTAGTGGCCGGGAATTGAATGACATACAGATAGTTTGAGGAAATTTGTTATAAATTATAATATAATTGAAGAATTAATTATCAAAACAAGTCTAAGAGCCATTTGTCAGATTTTCCCGAAATGCAAGGTTAAGATTTTAGCAGCGACTAACTTTGAGTGTACATATATAATTGTTATACTGAGTACTTTCTATCTGTGTTACTTATTTGAGTCTAAGAGCCATTTGTCAGATTTTCCCGAAATGCAAGGTTAAGATTTTAGCAGCGACTAACTTTGAGTGTACATATATAATTGTTATACTGAGTACTTTCTATCTGTGTTACTTATTTGAGTCTAAGAGCCATTTGTCAGATTTTCCCGAAATGCAAGGTTAAGATTTTAGCAGCGACTAACTTTGAGTGTACATATATAATTGTTATACTGAGTACTTTCTATCTGTGTTACTTATTTGAGTCTAAGAGTCATTTCTACCATAGAACTAGATATTGTCTCTCATTAAATATATATAACTGTAAACTGCTTAATTCATTTATCTATTTAGATAAAATTATATTTATATAAGATTTCATGTTATTATTTCATCTTTATTATTTTTTTTATTCCTTTGAAAAGTGACACTGGATAGTTTGTCCCTTTCTCCGTAATTTTTGGCGCCATATTTTAAAAATGAGTATTTTTGGAATTTTAATGACATATATAGTATATGCATGCAATTAACTTTTATTTTTTACTTAGTGCATTTAGCTATCTTTATTCTAATACAAAAATACAATTTAGCGAATATTGATAATAGCATGGTTTAAGCATATGTTTAGATACTGTAGACATGGGCTAAGTTATGTATAGTATGTATAAGCTTAGATAACAAGTATTCATTGAGATATAAGCAATCTAAATTTTATTTCAAATCTCAATGGTTGTTAAAAAACATTGATTTTTATATCGTTAAAATCAGCTTTTGGCATACAAGAAAGCATATTTTGACCTTGTCCATGAATTTCCAGGTCTTAACTGAAAAGTATTTTTATGCTTAATTTTTGAATATTTAGAATGTACTTATGACAATAATCATTATTTTTTATAAAACAAAAAATTGATGATGTGATCGAATTGATAATTTATCTCATATCCTAAAATTTCATAAAAAGTACATCATCATAAATTTCAATGTGTTTTCCATCTATGAACTTCAAAAAAGTGTTGAAAATAGTTATTTAGGTAGTTATATTGATTCTCACTTAAAGATATGAGCTCTCAATTTTCGACCCCCAATATACGTTTATTTTAGTTTCGGCATATTAACATGAAGCACGAGCCAAACCCTTAAAGACGTGTCCTCTAGTTTTGCCAACTCTTTCATATATTGTAACTATTTTCAGGAAAAAACGCAAATTCAAAATTAGAAATTCACAT